GTCTGTTAGTGTAAAGCGCTTTGGGGTCCAGAGGGACTTGAAAAGCGCTCTATAAGTTCAGTACCATTTGCCATGACAATGACATGGCAGATATACAGTACATATTCAGCTGAAACAACTAAACTAGTGCATAACATTATCGTCATTAAGGTCTTTATAAAAATGTTTTTTGGGGAGGTCACCTCCCAGTAAATGTCATTTTGGAAATTCCAACCTATCACTTTTTACTTGATACTTTTACATTTAATACTTAAATATATTTTACATCAGAAATGTACTTTTGATACTCAAGTACAGTAAATGTCAGATATTTTAACTTTTACATAAGGAGTCTTTTACTTTTWCCAAAGTCATTTTATGGTAGGATTATTTCACTCAAGTAWGACTTAGAGGTACTGCTGTCTGCTGGCAAGCTTGTACACTCACATCGCAGCACGATCAGCAGATAATGATAACTATTTATACTCACAACACCTGCTTTCACTTTGTAACACAGACATTGCCCAGTTGAGGGAACAGTAGCATACKTTGTGTGTATAACTGATGTCAGGGCTGATAATGAAGTAACTATCAGGCTGCGTTCACACTGCAGGCAAATGTGACCTGTATCGGATTTTAACACGGCAGTCTGAATGTGACAGGTCTTTTCAGTATGAGGTACTAAATCAGATACAWAATGCATYTGTCGCATTTCATCAGACTTTTACGCCAGTGAGGCTGTGAGCAGATCAGTCCGAGTAGGCTATTTAGAATATTGATAGCAACCTTGTGCAGTTTAAATCTTGTATTTCCACACGTCTTCAGTTACAGCTTCAGTCCAGTTGCTTCATCAYTTTACTTTTAGTTTTCCATGTCCTGGATGACTGAGAAAATGTTCAGAAACATATGATAGTAACGTGGGTCTTGGACCGTGTCGATGCTAATCGATATTTTCGCTAGCTTAATTTTCAGCACATTGCTCTCGTTCCATAAATGCATAGCTCACCGGAGCAGCTGAMCAGAGGACAGTTATGTAAACAGTGAACTAAACATGCATGCCAGATAATTATTTAATCTGTTGCACAACCACTTCAGAATCGACATGCTAACATGTAGCATCCATAGGCTACTTCTGTAAACACTATGCTGAATGTGACGTCATGCCTTTCTCTGCGTAAGCGGGTCTCATCAACGCTGTGGAGAGTTCTCACTGATTGATGGAGGTCGCATTTAAAATATGTGAATATCCGTGCTTAAAAATCTGATTTTTGCAAAAAAAAAAAAAAAAAAATCAGAACTGAGCATTAAGAGCTGCAGTGTGAACGCAGCTTTAGAAAGAACAACAATTCAAAACTATCATCATTCT